AACTATAAACCCCTGTTCGGGCCATGCTGAGTTACACGCGCCAATATTTCAAAATCATGGTAGTTTTCCACCGTGCACTTTCTCTCTGAAACGAGACCCCCAGTTTTTTTGTATTTCTGGCACAAGTAACTCATTGTCTGACTGCAGTAAAAATATTTTAAAAAAATCTATTGACTGGAAAATTTTCGCGCGAACGTCCTTAAGGACTTCTTCTACAACAAGACCGCTTCGAAAGTGTCTTAAAGTTTGTCCATATGATCGTTAGTCTGCCGCTATACTCGCCATCGTTAGTGCATTCTTGTTTGGACTCACGATGGATCCTGTTATTTGAGGCGTGCAGTCGCTCAAAAAGTCGTCTTCGAGAACCGTAACTGTCATTTGATACCATTCGTTGTAAATCGTGATCAAAATTGGCTGCATGAACCAATTTTTTGACGAACCATTTTTCTACATGTACTATTCTAAATGAAATTAGCACAAGTTAACGACCACAATTTACAGGGCGACGTCTACAAGGGATGATCCTCCATTTCATGTTCCTAAAGGATAAGAGATACTCCTAGTCACTCCATGTTACTAGATAACGAGATAAGTGCTCGCCCGTCAATATCCCGTCCTAGCCGGTTTAAAAGAAACGTTACATCAGTGAACCTCATTATGATTTCCTGCTGACATTGTAGTTCCATTTGTTTTTCAGGGTTACCGTGAATGCCATGAACCTGATGGATTTTAGAAATTACCCCATGGATATTCAACTGTTCTTTTTCAGAGTTCTAAGCTGTGAGTAACAAAATACTTTTTTGGTTTATGGTAAAATAATCAAACCTTATGCCAGGATACAATTTGATTGTGTGAAGATTTGCATGGATAACTGCAATCGTCACTCAGTTAAGGTATATGACTTCTCAAACTCATGAATAATTCATCAAGTTTAGACAAAGGAAGTCATGACCGTGACGGTGTTTGGATATCTGATCTTAATTAGCGTAGATTTTTACGATTTTACTTCTCCGTTTTCTCCTTACTTTTAGTTTCGATTGAGAAGATATATCAAACACTCAAGACAGCATTTGACCACATTTCCAAACACCTCGAAGTTCGTTTAAAAATACTCCGCTGCGCGTCGTACTTTCATCTCTCTTCTCGGTGTTTGGAAATGTGGTCAAACACTGTCTGTCTTGTTTGATATATGACTTTAATATATGTCTTAAATATATGTGTGACATTTGCAGACGGTTTCGACATAACACAGATTAGATACAAGTGGATCGATGTATCGCTATACAGCAAGGACATGGCTGAATTCTATATCATGAATCAAACGCTCAGCAGCGACAAAGTTAAATACATGATAGGTCAGTATTATTGCAGTTTTTTAGGGCCTGTTTACAGGGAGGGAGGGTTACCCTAGCAAGCGGGTTAACCCTAGCGGGAGGGCAAAAGATAGCCCGGGTTTATAAGCAAAATTTTACAGGTAAGGTAACCCTAAAACCCGGGGCAACTTAATACGTGGTTACACTCAAAGGGTCTGGAAAAAATTAGAAAGTTAACCCGGGTAGGCGGGTAGTGTTTGCAAGGGGAAAAGTGAACCCGCCTGCCAGGGTAACTCTAGCACGCAGATAGGGTAACCCGTCTACCCGGGTAACCCTAACTGCCTTGTAAACACAATGAAGAAAAACAGAAGAAATGTTTGAGTGCCAGGGTAACCCGCCTGCTAGGGTAACCCTCTCTCCTTGTAAACAGGCCCTTAGTTTTAACTAAAAATTTGAAAGTTAGCAAATGTACTAGCATATAGATTGCAGACTCTGGATCGAGAGCTCTGGGTTTGAGCGTTGTCAGGGTCAAGGTGTTGCCCTTAAGGCCAGGAGCCTTCATTCTCACACTGCCTCTCTACACCAGGGGGAGGGGGGGTACTCACTGGATACCGGCAAATTGTACAAGGACCCTGTTCGTTTCTTTGTTGCATGCCTCAGTCCGTCTCTCAACATAACTGTTTCACAAAATCTTCGACTCGACCTCTCTCACGAAGCCAGTTAGTACGAATGCTAGACTTAAACTGATATGGAGAGCTATAAAGCATATATCCTGGATCTATGTATCGATACAGTGGAACCCTGTTAATTCGGTCATTAGCTGGCCACAAATTATTTTAGAAAACAGTCATAAGAAAATACGCGCGCTGATTGGTTAAAAGTCGTGTTTCTATTTAACAAATAGATTCCATGTTGCCGTGCTTCTGTTCAGTAATAGATCACAGATGACGTAAAAATGTGGTAAGAACAAAAAAGTGGCACACGAGGCGATA